TTTTTTTTGCTTTTTTTTCATAATCATGTTAAAAAGAAAAACTCATCAAAAAATAAAAAAAATCCCCCCCCCCCCGCCAAAATAAAAAAAACTCTCTTCGTTTTTTACCTACACTATGATTTTCACTGTCTTTCAGAAAACGTTTAACAAAAAAATAAACTTGCTGAGTTTTCAGATACCAAAACAACACCTATGCTTTTTCCTGACCACTTGCAAACTTTGCTGATTTTCCCCCAGCCAATTCAAAAAAGAACAATCATATTTTTTATAAGCATACATGTATATTTATTAAATATAGCTTTTCAATGATTATCCCTGACTATAACAATGTCATTGACACTGGTTGCGCTACTTTTAAATATTCTATAATAAGAATTTTTAAAACTAAAATTCCCAAAGCAACAGTGTCAACATTAATTATATATTATTTATATATAACTACAGCTGTATCTTCCCATAATCAACACTTACAGATCTTCATCTTTAAGGTAATCGCTGCAGAGTTTCACCTACACTGTATACCAACAATTAAAGCAGGAGATTGGTCTTAAGACTTTTCAGAGATCAAAGTTTTCATAAGCCAAACTTGACATTTTTAATTCAGATCAAATTTCAAAGCAGATTTCAAAGGTGTTCTTTGATGTGGCATAGAATTTAGTTGGAGCATTTTAAGCTTAAAAACATGAATCTACAACGCGAAGAGCTTTTGAGAAGCTGGTAAATAATGAGGATGTTTTTTGCAAACCAACTGAATCCTGATTGTATTATTTTCCATTCTGAACAAATTATTATACACCACTAATTGTCAACGAAACAAAACAATATTACTGTACTTACAGTAAACACACACTCACTAATAAGAACCTGTGGTTTAAGAACCTGCTGATAGCACTTAAACTACCCAAAAATATTTGAACCTGTTAAGCCGAGCAAAATCAAGCAGATTCATATGCAGTATGTGGGTTACAGGTAAATTTAACCAAGGAGTTTGACTTCAAGAATACTGCACAAACTCTAAGTACAAATAGAAGTTAATTCCTACAACAAAAAATGGTTTTTAAAAAGAGCACAGATTATAATCATTGTAATGGACCTTGCATAATTAGTAGCTTTGCAATGTACATGCAGTTGTGAATAAACAACGTATATTTAAGGAGCAAACTCATGCAAGTTTCTTTAGTTTTCTGGTGGTCAACAACTACATCTCCTTCATGAAGAATTAAGAATCTACATTAAGAACCAACTTAGCCTAAATGAGTGTAACTATATGCAAATTTTGTGGTTCGTGAGTAGGGGGCTGGTTGTGGGTGAGGGAAGTTGGGGTGGGTCATGAGTGTGGGTTAATGTCGTGGGTAAAAAAAAGTATAGAAACAAAGAACTAAAAAAAAAGTTGTAAAATTTCTGAAAGAAGATCTTCGCATACGCGGCTACGCCTCAGTCCTAAAGCAGACTATTGAAAAACATCTTGGCAGCTGTATTTGTCAAGTATGAAGTGTGAGCGTTAGGGACTTTTAAGATAGGTGACTACGGTTGGCTGGAACGGTTGGATACCTTATGTCACGTCATGCAAAACACATGCTACCTTTTACCGTTGTCCTTCGGGGACGGTATGTTTTTGCCAGGTTTTTCGTCATGAAGACAATGGTGAAACCGATAAGAGTTGCATACAAACTTATTGTAACTACCTCTAAAACTGAGTAGCCAATGGGTTAAATATGTGTTGGGTTGTGTTTACATTGATTTACCAGCTATCGGTAAAATAAAAAACAAGTAGCGAAAATGTCTGAGTTCATTCACAACTTAGCTCGTGGTCGCATGGCGACTGCTTGTTTTCTACCTAACGTCGTCTGCCTTGGCAGAAGAAAATTGCCGAAAAGAAAGGTAAGGCCCAGTTCAAACGTCGATCTTTTCATATATCACACTTAATTAATACCTATTTAGGTTGACACAAATGATATAAGTTTGAGGTTAATTCAGACGTCAAACTTTGAAATAATTAGCCAAACTCAATTCATTTTCACGACGTTCAATGGTCTAGAATGCTATAAACAGGTGAAAATAAATTTTAGTAATTTGTGCATTAGTTCCGGCACATGAGAAGTTCGATGTTTGAACCAGGCCTAACAGTGATGATTGTAACCGTCTTTTTTTTTTAACTTAAAACTGTTTTTTTATCAAGAAAAGATTTCTTTATCTCTAAAGGTGTTGGCTTAGAAAAGGAAATTAATCATAAAAACATTGACTAGTTTTGAAAACTAGCTAGTTTTAATTTGTACCCTTATTCTGCTGATTGGTTTTCTTCGCATAAAATAAGAAACTCTTCTTCAGTAATTGAACCATTCTGCTATAGAAATTACAAGCTAGTTTAATTTCGTACATGACTTCACCATTCTCTGTTTTGTTGTCCGATCTTAAATGTAAATAATTTGAAAATTTTTGCGCCTTCTTACCATCATGGCCCCAGGCATAGTGAACTATCTTAATTTATCAACAGATAAATAATATTGGCATAATTTGTCCGACTCGCTGAGATCTACATTTATAATTCAAATGGTCAGCGGAGATTCTTTTCGCTTAAAGGAATGCGATCACCGTGGACAAAATGATTCATACTCACTTACTGAAAATATGATCTCGCTGTACACAGACTAGACTTTGGCATGTTTTCTTTTTTACTTTGAACTTTGTCCTTGTGAAATTCTTTACCCTATATCCTTAAGCTTTTGGATTTCGAGGGATCTACTATGACCTCTGGACAATTTGAGCAAGTCAAGCACCAGTTTGTTTGACCTGACATGTTACTGAAACGACTCATTGGCAAAACAAGTGGTCACTGAGAAAGACTCCTGGTACAATTTTGAGCTATTTCATGTTTTTTTTTTATTGAGGTACATGTAGTACTTAAAGAAGTTTATGTCTTTTATGGCACACGAGGAAACCATCTTCATTCCCATCAACCTTTCAAGTCAAGGCACGACTTTAAATTTTATTGCCTGAAAAAAGTTATTCGTTTTTATAGCCACATGACTTCACACTGACAAATGCTTTTTTCAGACATTTTCAATGGTTAATAATTTATTGCAAACAGAGAGGTTTATCAACAAGAGGTGTAAGATACAGAATGATGACATGCATTGAAATGGATATGTTTTGTTTTCATCTTCATCATCATCCTCATTTAATCACAGAATCTCATTCATAAAAATGCTCTTCCAGGGAGCTGTGCAAAAATCGTGCAATATAATAACATTAGATAAGCACAGTTATTAAAATGGTTCTAAAATTACAAATGTGAGAGAAATATATATACTTCAAGCTTAGCTTGTCTGTCATTTAACAGTGTTTGATAGACTATTCCATCCGCCCCTTTATAGTGAAAGCTGTTTTTTCCAGCCTCAGTATTCAGTCTGGTACAAACAATAATATTAATATGTTTGAGTTCCTTAGATTGTAGGAGTACACAGAGTTTGTACTATTAAGAATTTGAGCAAAATGATCTGGTGCCATGTGATTTTTCAATAAATTTTATACATTATTGTGGCTAATAGGCCATTTGCTCTAGGAGTTCATGTGACATTGTTTTTTTATGAAAATGAAATTTATATGATTTTGTCTTCAAAAAACGATTGGTGGGTCATATCTTAAACAGAATAATAGTGATTTGGTTTTTCAAACCCGCACCATTTGCTTAAAATGAGTAAGATCGTAGATGGTCGCGTGACCAAAATGTGATTTTTAAAATTATGAATTACCTCTTTCTGAACACAAATTTTGCACTTAAACTTCGAGGAAAATGTTGAAAAGATGATGTGGTAACGTTTACAGCACATCTGAGTGTAACTATCAAACGTTTACCAAGATATAAGCAAACAGTAGTTTTGGCCGCCATGTTGGAGGGCAACATGGCGGCCAATACAAATCATACTACTTTGTTGAAAAATCAATGTGCCATAAAATATCTCCCTTAAAAGCGTTCCATCTCAAATTTCGGCTGTAAGATAATTTTTATGTGCTCTGTCGATTTTTGGCATCAGCAAGATTCCAACTCATTGTTTAGAGGAAGCGTTGATCACATGACCTCTTAGTGCAAGTGGCCTATTGCCTTGTCCTTCTTGTCTCAAGATTATCCCACGGCATTAGTTCATCCAGTATCTCAACTGATCGCCTTTCGTAACTAGAAGAAGTTACCACCTGGGCAGCTCTGTTTTGTTTTGTTCTAAGTACAAAATCTTTGCTGTAATGATTGAATATCATTGATTTAAAACTGAAAAGATTTTTCAGTCTCGAACGCTGACATCTTTAAAAAAGAGCAGTTTAGTCCCTGATTTTTTGTTTAGCCTGCTTCGGCTGTTTACACGTGTTACGACTGTTACTGTACATAGTGCACGGTACTTAGTTCACCTGAATACCGTCTTAGTGTCCGTTTGCTCCAAGGATTTGCTTATTTGCTTTGCTGACCACTAGAGAGGGGAATGGGACTGGTGTGTAGGCAGACATTTTCATGAATTTTCCAACTTTTTTTCTACTTATTATTGTTTCTTTCTATATTTTTTTTTTTCCCACGACGTTTTACCTACACCCACTGCCCATGACTCACGACATTTAGTTACACTCAGCCTAAATTGCCCATAAACTACCGCAAACTAAAAGAACCTTTAAGAAAAAACAAACAAAAAAAAACTAAAAGAACCTTTTTTGCCAGACCTCAAAAAATGTAGGTTCTTATTAGCACCTGTTTACTGTACATGTATCTCATTCATTTTATCTGTTTTGCTTTCTTTTCAAAGGTTTAATAGAGCTACAGTGTATAACACAAGACTCACTTCAAACATCAGTAAACTTAAGAGGGGATGAAGTTGTTTACAGTGTATGTGGCTTAATCCAGTCATGTCCAGTGATGCCAACCAAATGCAGCCTTAAATTTAAACATCTGCCTTGATGACATTTATTCATGAAAGTAAAATAAGAACTGTTGACTTGTGTCTTCGAATTTTTTAGTTTTAACCAAGTACTATTACCTTTCCTTTGAAATAAGCTACAGCAATGTGACCCTCCACCGTCACTGTTATTCCAGTTACAAAAAATACTTTTTCATCCAGCTGAATTCTGCGAACAAATTCGCCATTAACAGTGTATAAAGCCAGCGTCAGGCGGTATGTCTCTCGTTCAGAACCAACAAGGACAACAAGGTCGCTTACCGGGTGTGCAATGCGACGATAGATATCTCTCTCACATTCGATATTAAATTTGCCAAGCTGGTGTCCCTCCACATCAAATAAGTAGAAACTCTCACCGCGTAGGTCCACTATAAAAACACGACCATCACAAGTAGCAGTGATATCTCTTGCATCCTTGAACACTCCATCTCCAAAGCTACAAACAAGCTCGCCACTCGGCTCGCGAATATCAACAACGTTACCTGCCAACAGCAGAATTTTGCCGCGTTGTTTGCCGCTCACTGTTAGTCTCCAGTCCCCGATCCTCACAGGAAACTTGTGCTGACGGTCAGTGGTCTTGTTAAAAACCTGCACTTCCGTACTCTCCAATTTGGCAGCCCTAGGCTTCGTCAGTCTGACCAGTAAATAGATCATGTCGTCCTCGCCTGCAGTGGTGACATCCAAAATACGTAACTTTGTATCGGCGTCATCAATTTGAGGATTAAACCTAAAATCAAACTTTCCGTTGCTATCAAACACCTTCACGGTGTTATCTCCATTGTCTACCACAAGGAACTGTCCTTTGGTATTTGTAGCGATACCACACGCCAACTTCAGCTTGTGCTCCTCTTCACCCTCCTGACCAAATGACCATAGTAAACAGCAGTGCTCGTTACCTTGTTTTTTCAACGCTTTAACAAATCTTTCGTTGCGGAGCGGATCCACTTTCTCTTTCCCAGTTTCAACATAAGGCAACGTCCATCTTGTTACACTACCGAGCATGTTCATTACATCATAGATCACACGATTAGCGTGGCAGACAGAAAAAATTATTTGCCTTCTTTCTTCTTTGTTAAAAAGAGCCCTCAATCTCAATCCTTCCTCCAACTCAACTTTGAAATATTCTTTAACAGCTGGCACTTGGTGTAACTCGTCAAGGCAGACTCTACAAGCCGCTAATGCGTCGGAAGGATAGTCAACCGTCTCCAGTATTGTCGCCATCAGTCGATATTGCATAGCTAACAGACGATCAGGCAACTCCAAAGCTTCATTATTGAAAGCATTTGTCGCTCCTAGGCGAGCTTCTTCAAATCTCTTCTTGGCTTTAGTAAGCTTCCTCGTGGCGGACTCATCCAAGGCAGAAAGTTCCAATTTCGTAATTTCTTTAGCAATATCGAATTGTTCAACACAAGCTGTTGCAGCTGCTGTTTTCGCGCGATGCTCGCTACTGGGTCTGGCACTTTGAAACACTTCATATAACAACTCGATTCCTTCCTTAAAAAGGCTGATACTTGTCTTCAAATCCTTTCTTACCAAACCATCTAACTTCGATTTTATTTCATCGATTTCACGGACGATCAGGCCACGGAATTTCTGATCTGTAACATCACCCTCATTCAACTTTTCTGCCAGTTTATCTCTTCCTTTATTCACCAACAGGCCGATAGTGGCTTTGAATACAGCAGTTATTAGTGAAGACATGTCGGTACTCCTTTTAATGAAGATCTCGGTCAGCACTGGTATGTCCTTAACAGTTGAGTTCAAGCGCTGACTGTTAAGATACAAAAATACATGCGAGGTTAAGTTGTCAGAAATGACTTAAACAGCAAAAATTCGAAGAAAAATTCTAAGAACTAAGTAGAAAAGAGGAGAAAATGATTATCTAGAGCTTTAAAAATAATAATAATAATAATAATAATAATAATAATAATAATAATAATAATAATAATAATAATAATAATAATAATAATAATAATAAAAGGTCTACCATTCACAGGTTGTTGGTGAACTGTGTTCTGAACTGTTCTGAACTGTGTTCTCTAGCTACAGCTTAGTGTTCACTGGTATCCGAATTAAAACCAAAAATCAAGCTGGTGTGTTTTGAGGAAAAATTTCACTTTGCTTATTAACTGTTAGCTAGAAATGAATTTCAATACCGTTGTATCCGTCCGGCAAACACGTTAGAGAGACCTGAGGGGTATCTTCTTAATGTACTAGTCAACTAAATTCATGCGTGCGGCCATAACCTCATGTTGTCAATGATACTGACAATTCCTCCTCCAGCCCAAATGGGCTCTGAGTTCGGCCGAATTGGGGCTATTGGCTCAGAGGCCATGAGGGCGAGAGGAATAATTGTTTTAGTAAAATCCAACTAGCTGGTCAAAAATATCGAGACAAATTAAAACAACTTTAGTCAGCGAAACGCGATTCAGGCGCCATTGTTTTGGTTTTCAAAGCCGGCGCTTGTCGCTACTAGTGGGCTATAACATATAGCCTGGTAGTAGCTCAACCAATCAGAACGCAGCATTGATTATAGACCACTAGTTGGATTTTACTTACCGAATAGACGGTTTTGGTATTCTGCCATTTCAATTGGGTTAAACAGCAATTAAAATATATAACAATCCTGTACTGATCTTCTCCTCAATATTATTTATCGTCACTCGGCTGTTCACCGTAGGAATTCAAAAAGCTTCGAAACCTATTTGTTTCAACATTTACGTAACATTTTATCTGCTTGAAATAAGGGTGGCATGAATAAAACGGGTTTCTCGAAAACTAAGACCTAAGACCCCCTCCAAATCTCGAAAAGTAAGACCTAAGATCCCTTTCAAATCTCGAAAACTATAACGTTTAAAACACAGCGGAAGGGAAGGTGTTAAGATCCTCTGTTCAACTCAAAGCAATTAATTTCAGATAGACGGAAGCGTGCACGGGCTTCTAAAACATATATATAGGTCAGTTTCAGAATTATCAAATATGAAGTAACTTGACATAACATTAACGACGTTAACAGAACTACATGCATTCCTGTTCGGTTTGCGGTATATCTTCAGAATTTTCTGAGTTTAAACGGCATGAGTTGGCATAAAACTTACTATTATACTGAAGATCCCTTTCGAACTCATCCATTGCTCCTTCAGCTCCTCGAGAGCGAGGCACGTACGTTATTTTAGGATCATAGTCGTCTTCACAAATTATTTAAAGTCTGAGCACTTCAACATTATTCTGTTGCAAAAACCTTAGTCTTTCTCCAAACTGAAAGGCGAGTGAAGGTAGCAACGAATTGCCGATATCTTCGCTCCTTAATTACCGTCATGTTAATACCACCCTTTAATTTCATAGGCTCTGCTGGCAGGCGTTTTTTCCCTTTTCTTCCCGCCCCTCCCGCTTGCCTGCCCCTCCTCCATGTCAACTGGGCCACGCTTTAAAAAACATGCACTTGCTCTGCAGGCTACTAAATTGCTGGTTAACATTAAAGCTAAAAACAACTAAACTTCACATACTGTAGTTCAATTAGATGCAATATTCTTAAGAAGATCGAGAAATTTGTCAAATCCGATATTTCAGATACCTCGTATCAACTTGATAACTTTTGTAACAGCGAATGTCTCTGAAAACGACCCCAGAAAAAAGTTCGCTCTAGT